GCTTGAGGCTCCGTCTCAAAAATAAATAAATAAATAAATAAAAAACCTTAAAATATCCTTAGTGACAACTGGGCTGCTTATTTTACATGGAGAAAAGACAAACCATAAAAAGAAGTTAAATGTCCCCCCCCCAAAGGTCACACTGTCTGTTAAGAGCTAGACCTACAGTTAGAACATGCAATAGCCACATGTCCCCTTTTAATGGCTGGACATCTTGACAGGCCAGCCTCTGCCAGTGAGGAGTGTGGCCTGGGAACTTTCTGTCGGTGGTTATGAGCACCAGCGATGTACCCAGATTTAGTTTCACCAAACCTAGGTTCAGACTCCATGTCAGCCCACGTCTGTGTTCTGGCCTTGGGGGCTGAGCAAGGCCAGGCCTTCTTTAGCTGTGTTTCTGGAATTCCCCAGTATTCATTCACATGGTCACTGGGATCACCACTATGTCTCTTCCGTATCACCACAACACGTTCTGGGTTATTGCTAACATCAGACAATTCATCCCCAAATCTATGTATGCATTTTAGCGCTTAGAAAGAACAATTTCCCTAACTGCTTTGTGTGTTTCCATGCTCTATATTAGTCAGCAGAAAATAACCATATATTTATTATCGTGAGAACAAAACACTATAATAATTAATGACATGTGTGGAAGCTGCTAATATTCATCCAAAAAAAGTTACTAAGAAGTAACTTTTAGTGCTAAAAGTTGAACAACTTTTAAGTAGTCCACTAGAAACACAGATTGACAGCTAACACTGAATGTTATCAGAGTACACTAACTAGAGACTTTTAGGAAGAATAGTGTTTCCAGCAAATGTTTGTAAAAAACACAAGGAAGAATAATAGAGCATAGATTTTATTATAAATCGAATCTTTTTGGAGTTGCTTGGGGTACTAAATTTATAACGTCCAGTGAAATAACTTACAGAAATTATATAAAACTTTGAGTAATTTGACTCCATTTAGTCTGTGATTCTCCTGTCCCTGCAGGGCTCAGTTGACGTTAAGTCCTTATTTAGAATCGCAGGGGTCCAGCACAGTGGCGCAGTAGGAATCCAGCAGCTGAGAAGGCTGATCAAGACTTACTGAACTCAAACGGCAAACTTTAAAATTTTACCCACATTTTTAACTATAGAATGTAATTATGCCCATAAATTAAATTTCAAATTTGGTCTCGGGTCCCAGATTCATTCAAGGGTGGTGCCACATGCTTTGACAGTAGTGGTCCCTCAGGGTAGGGTTATTCCTGCAGGCCTTGAGCCCCGTGTTTGCATAGCTCTGGATAGAGGGGTAAGAGCGGGCACTTACCTGAGCCCCTTGGTGTTCCCTCCTCTACTGTCCTCTGCTGTCCCCAGCAGTGAAGGCCTGAGAAGAGCCCTGGTTTCCAGTCTCACGTAGTGGACAGGAGAGGTAAGCAGGACTGGGAACTCAGATCTCCTGAACGTGCTCCAGGAGGCAGCCCAAGGCCTGTCCGAGATGGCTCCCTGTGGCTTTACCACAGCAAGGGGTCTGCAGGTGCTCAGAAGCGAGGACAGCAGCTCACTGCTCACGTGTTTCTCCCTCCTTTCCTGATAGTTTGTGAAGTTTGCCAACATCGAGGAGGACACCCCGTCCTATCATCGGAGTTATGATTTCTTTGTGTCCCGATTCAGTGAAATGTGCCACTCGAGCCACGATGATTTGGAAATCAAGACTAAGTGAGTAGGGGGGCGGCAAGGGTGGCCTGCTCGGCTCACACCAGAGGCACTGCTGGGTTTTGTGGCATTTACTGCTGCTCTGATGTCGCTGGGTAGGAAGAGCACTGGCTAGATGTGGTGGGGGGAGGGACAGCTCTGGGGTCCCCACATGTCTTTTCTAAAGCAAAAACTGCTTGGGCCAGAAAACAAGGCTAAATGTAAGATAATGGGCTGTGGGCTCAACTTGAGAGCAGTGACGAAACACACCCGTCTACACACACTTCTGCTCAGAATGAGATGCATCAATATTCTAGAAATACCATTATCCATGAAAACCTACACCCACCAATAAAGAGCCGAAGTCTTGGCTCTGGTTGATCCTGGCTGCCTTCCTCACTTCATCCCCTCTGCCCTCCCACTGGCTCATTCCCCAACCATGAGGACCATGCTGGCCTCTTTGCTGTTCCTCAAGCTCACCAGGGCATTCCTGCCCCAGGGCCTTTGCACAGTCTGTGTCCTGCCTGGAATGCTTCACCTCTGTGGAGCTTTTGCTCTAATGTCCCCTTATCAGTGAAGCTGCCCCTGTGACCCCCACACACCCACCTCCTTCTTCCTTACCCTGCTCTGGTTTTTTCCAAGTACTCCTCCCTTTTGAACATGTTTCATCATTTACTTACTATGCCCTTATTGCCTGTGTCTTCCCATGGGAATGTAAGCTCTACCTGTATCCAACAATGCAGGTCATTGTTTTGTTCCCTGATGTCTCAAGTGCTAAAACAGTGCCCAGTGAGCAGTGGGCACTTGAGAAATATTGGCCAGGTGAATGACAGAATGAATGGATGCTTTCAGATAAACATTTTGAATTAGAGAATACACTTTTACGTACACAAATCTATAAAAAACACTTAACTCACAGAAACATATCCATTTGAATGCAATCAAGTACTGAAAAAAATAGAAACATACTCACAGACGTGAAAGTATTATAAGACCTCTCAAAACCACACAGAAATTAAGACAAAAACATGCTGACACAAACAATGGAGCAGGATGCAGAGTCAGATGGATAAGTCAGTCAGCACACGAGGAAGCGGGAAACAGGTGCTTGGTGTCGAGCATTGTCCTTGGAACTGTTATGTAAGGTGCAAAAGAGTCAGAAGCAGGTGTCTGCCTTTGGAGAGTATCCTCCCCTCAGGAAGATTCTATGAAACTAAAGACTGTGTTTAAAGAAAGAAAAGCTGTCCCAGCCCAGCAAAGCCGCAGGAGGTGTGGGAGAAGGCGGAGGCAACAGGGGACTGTCATCTCCATTGGTTGCTGCTGGAACTAAGCTCCTTCCTTCATCACATCAGCACCTCAGAGGTGTCCCAAGCGCCATGTTATACAGAACAGTGAGGTCGAGGAACCAGGTTGTCCCTCACGATAGCCAGCGGTCTGGTCTGGAGCAACAGGAAGTGAATCTTCCTTTCCCTGGGCTGCTGGTTCCCCAAGCTTCCAAGGCGGCAGAGGGGCTCCGGGCAGAAAGGCCAGTTCAGCTGGATGGCAGCTTCTAGGCCTCCCCACTCCCAGACACTTCTCTCCATCCCCTACGGCTGTGCTGGGCTAATGACTCTGACAAGGCCAGCAAGGGGTCCAGGTGGAAGAAGTTCCTTGCCCAGGGTTGGCTTCCCAAAAAGGGATGAAGAGGGGGAGCAGAAGGGACTGGAGCAGTCAGGGTCCATCCAGGAGCAGGTGTTAGAGGAGGGGCAGGACTGTGAGCTGGTGTGGTCGTAACAAGTGCCGCCCACTCAGGCTGGACCTCACTGTCCAGAGGCAGAGCCGCAAGGTCGCTCCTGTGACACTACACATGTACACACACGATCGCTGCTCTGCATGTGATGTGGTCAGCACTGCGTCCCAGTAGCATGTGACATGGTCAACACTGCATCCCAGCAGCATGTGACATGGTCAGCACTGCGTCCCGGCAGCAGGAGAGGTTCCTGAACACCAGGACAACAGCTGCTGAGGTTGCCTCTGGCCCTGGCACCACCTTTACACCCAGAGACCAGCACTTGTCACCCATGAAGGAAAGCCCGCGGGTGAGAGGGGAGGGACTGTCTGGGGTCGGTATTCTTTTTTTTTTTTTTTTTGAGACGGAGCCTCAAGCTATCCCCCTGGGTAGAGTGCCATGGCATCACAGCTCACAACAACCTCCAACTCCTGGGCTCAAGCGAGTCTCCTGCCTCAGCCTCCCAAGTAGCTGGGACTACAGGCACCCGCCACAACGCCTGGCCATTTTTTGGTTGCAGCCATCATTGTTGTTTGGCAGCCCGGGCTGGGGATTCGAACCCGCCACCTTAGGTGTATGTGGCTGACGCCTTAGCCGCTTGAGCCACAGGGGCCGAGCCATGGGGTCAGTATTCTTTATTCCTGCTCCTGCTGCTTCTCCCCTCCATCACCGCCCTCCCAGCTGTTCCCTGAGATCACTCCCTGTTGTTCATTCCAGTCTGCCCAGAGTCCAGAGCAGTAGCAGATGGGCTGGGCTTTTTGTGCCCACAGTAGCACTTTGCTCTAGAAGCCTGGAGGGGGCCTCTGAATGCTTTTGGCTACCCTTGGATCCCCACAGTGGAGTGTGTGTGTGTGTGAATTGTATGATCCCTTGGGCCTGGCGGATCAGTACTCTCTGAACTCCACTTGGGTTCAGAGACTTCGCAACCCCTGGTCTTGGGTAGGGCTCCACTGAGCATCACTGAGAAGAGGAACATGGAGGAGTCTCCTGCTCTCCAGGTTCTGAACTGACTATGAAAGGGTCAGTCAGCTCTGACTGTCCTGGAATGAAATGTGCACTCTGGGGAGACTGAAGGAGCGCAAGGTTGTTAGAAAAACAAGGAAAATTAATTCACATTCACACACAAGGAAGCCCCAGACAGAAGTTTTTCCACCAACCAACACTGGATCTTGCCAGCCAGGCCCACCTGGGTGGGACACACGAGTCTAGCACATCTGGAGTGTGTTTTAGTTATGTACTAGGGGGGGACGTCTAGCCCAGAGGCAAGAGTAGTAAGGGGGTAGTATTCTAGCCAGTCTATTCTCAAGCCCAGACAGCCTCTGGCTCAGGGTCTCGAGTAGGAGTCAGGGTCAGAGTGGCCGAGAGTTTCCCCAGGGCATCCCAGAGTGTCCTCTGGTGCTGCCAAACTGCTACCCCTAAGTGATGGTCACTCAGGAAGGCCCAAGGTCATACTCTCATAGCCCCACTTAAAACTAAAGCTGAGGCTCAGCACCTGTGGCTTAAGTGGCTGAGGCACCAGCCACATACACCTAAGGTGGTGGGTTCGAATCCAGCCCGGGCCCACCAAACAACAATGCTGCAACCAAAAAACAGCCGGGCATTGTGGCGGGCGCCTGTGGTCCCAGCTACTTGGGAGACAGAGGCAGGAGACTTGCTTGAGCCCAGGAGTTGGAGGTTGCTGTGAGCTGTGATGCCACAGCACTCTACCCAGGGGGACAGCTTGAGGCTCGGCCTCAAAAAAAAAAACTAAAGCTGAAAATACAACTGTCAACTAAACATTTAGAAAAAACGCTGCTCCACTCCAACGATCATCAAAAGGATGCAAACTGAAATAGCTACAAGATGTGTGGATTTTTCCAAGCCATAAAATTAGAACAGATGTTTTGAGTGAGATCCTTAGGGCTGCTGTGGGCACAGAGAGAATGGCATTCCCTGGCAGCCTGCCCAGGGGTGGGAGAGGGGCTAGCAATTTGGCAATATTGGGAGCCTTTCTTTCATTTCTTACCTTGTGATTCATTGATTCCACTCATGGCGATGACTTGAAACGCAGTGAAATATTTTATACAATGATATCCGTAATAGCATTATTATAACAAAAAATCTGGAAATAAATGACCAATGGGGCACTAGTTTAGAAAGTTCTTACAGTATATCATGCAATCATTCAACATGTTTTGAAGAGTTAATGATATAGGAAAATGATTATAACTAGATGTTATGTGACAAAAAGTGAATATATGGCTGGGTAAGGTGGCTCACGCCTATAATTCCAGCACTTACGCTGAGGTAAGAGGATTGCTGAGGCTAGGAGTTCAAGACTAGCCTGGGCAACACAGTGAGACTACAAAAATGCCACCACACGGGGCTAATTTGTTTTTTATTTCTAAAAAACAAAACAAAACAAATTAGCCAAGTGCAGTGGCATGTGCCAGTAGTCCTAGCTACTTTGGGAGGCTGAAGCAGGAGGATCACCTGAGCCTATGAGTTGGAGGCTACAGTGAGCTGCAGTCTGGATGACAGACTGTGACTCTGTCCCTTAAAAAAAAAAAAAGGTCAATACAAATTAAATATGCAATAGGTTCTTAGCTCTGTTATGTATTATGTATAGAAGAAAGAAAAGATACCAAAATGCCCAATAATGATTATCTTTGGGTGATGATGGTAGCACCCAAATCTCCTCTTCTCTATACTTTTTTATAATTAGCATGTATTATTTTAAAATCAGGAAAAAAAGTTTGACATAAAAAGAAAAAGAAAAAAACTTCAGGTCCCAAGCTTCCAAGGCGGCGGAGGGGCTCCGGGCAGAAAGGCCAGTTCAGCTGGATGGCAGCTTCTAGGCCTCCCCACTCCCAGACACTTCTCTCATTGGCTTTTATTAATGGCCAGTAAAGAGGGGACCCTCCTACAGGGCTGTGCTAACCTTGGGTTTGCACAGTGGGGACTGGAGGTGTGCAAAAGGGGCCCCCTTGTGCTGCTACTCAGTTTCCCCTCTGACTTCTCGGGCAGCTTAGCCCCAGTGGGAACCCCTCTGCACCTGAAAGCCTTCAGTTCTGGGCTTTTCCCACCTGATCCGCCACCCCCTACCCTGTAAGTTCCTCGCAGCCCTGGATTCTGCCTCTTTACTCCTTGGCAGTGCTTTGAGCTCTTAGGCCTAAGCTGGAACACGCCCAGCTAAATGGTAAAGGGAGAGAGCTAGAGTGCTCGGCCCCCTGGGACGCAGCCTGGGTGATACCAGGGCAAGGGCAGTCTAGGAGTCTCTGAGATCATGCAGAAGACATGGCTTCCTGACCTCATGTCCACCAATGTAAGAAGCTGGCCGGGTAGGAGGTCAGGTCACATGGAGAGCAGGAGGTGGTCTCCATTCTGCCTTCCCAGGGATGACTGTATTCCCAGCCCCCAAACTGTGTTCCTTTCTTTGCCACAGAAGCTGGACTTCTCAGGGCTTGAGGACTTCAGAGTCCCATTTCATCCTGTTCCCTACAGAATTCGAATGTCAGGCATCAAAGGTCTGCAAGGGGTGGTGAGGAAGACAGTGAACGATGAATTGCAGGCCAATATCTGGGACCCACAGCACATGGACAAGATCGTCCCGTCGCTGCTTTTCAATCTGCAGCATGTAGAGGAAGCAGAGAGGTAAGCTGGCCAGGACGGGGCCCTCTGAGGTTGTCCTCCCAGCTGCTTGGGAACCATGTGGCTTGGGAACAGAGATCCTGGTTTTGTGGCTTGTTCTGTGGTGAGTCCAAAGCTGGCTCCTCAGGAGCCTTATGTCTGGCCTTGTGCCATCCTGCTGTACCCTAACATCTGCCCCAATTAAAAAGGGACAGCCTTGGTTCTGGGCTCCCTGAGGGTAAGTGGGTGCTTGTAGGAACACAAAGAGCCAAGAGTCAGGTTACCTTTGTCTCCCTGGAAGCAGTGGGGCAAGGAGGTTCAAGAATCTCTCCCTGGCTCCAATTACTGAGGACTTCCCCTCCTGACCTTCCTTCCTCCCTTGCTTCCTGATGCTATTTCTGGCCCTTAAAAAACATGCATTTTGAGCAGCCAGCAGGCACGCAGCAAGACTTGCAGATATTGGCTTTTAATCATGGATATCGGCTACCCATGGGATTCATTCCTAATCCCTGCCCCTCACTTTTCACCTCTGTGAAATGGGGAAGTGGGGAAGGTTCATGTTGTTGTCCCAACTTGAGGTGTGTGCGTGATGCTGTTTCTGACACTGGGTTTCTCTCTAGCAGTCTGAAAGCTAAATCTTTCTTGCTATCCAATATGATAGCAAGAGTGGAGGCTGCTAGGTCTGGCCAGCAGGTGCTTTTGCCCTCTAGTGGCTATTTGTGGAATAGCAGCTCACTGATGGACTCCCACTGTGTATCTGGTGTCTAAGGGCCACCAAGCCTGGGGCTCCTGGTTCTGGGCCTACTCCTTGTGTCTTGGGTACCACTGAGTCAAGCCAAAGTCAACCACCATGTCATTACTTTTCCCTTCCTCTCTTTTCTCTCTCTCCTTTCTCCCTTCCTTCTGCTTTCTCTCCCTATTCGGCCTGCCCCCTTCCCTTTCTCATAGCCCTACTCCTTTTCCTTCTGAAGCTTTGGGAGCATTAGGACGCTCACCAGGCCCAGGGCTCAGAGAGTCCTTCCCACAGGGGCATGTCAGGCCTACCCTTCAGGATTTCTGGAAAGGGACCTTTACCTCTTCTCTGGGAACTTTCCTCCTCTTCTCCACCAACCTTCCGTCTCTTCTCCCAAAGAAGTGAGAACTTCTTTGCCCCATTTATTTTCTGATCCCTCAGCATCTCCTTTGTTGCCTAATGCAGCCCAAAGCAAATACCTTCCTGCCCAACTCACCATTGGCCTGGATGAAGCCTAGAAACTCAGGGCTGGGCACAGTGGCTCACAACTGTAATCCTAGCACTCTGGGAGGCCCAGGCATGTGGATCACCTGAGCTGAGGAGCTTGAGGCCACTCTGAGCAAGAGCAAGACCTTGTCTCTACTAAAAACAGAAAAATAGCCAAGTGTGGTGACAGGCGCCTATAGTCCCAGCTACTTGGGAAGCTGAAACATAAGGATCACTTGAGCCCAAGAGTTTGAGGTTGCTGTGAGTTATGATACCATAGCATTCAATCCCAGGGTGACAAAGTGAGACTCTGTCTCAAAAAAAAAAAAAAAAGAAAGAAAGAAAGAAAGAAAGAAAGAAAGAGAAAAAAAGAAACCCAGGCCTCCACACAGCCTGACTCCTAACTTTGCACTTGCCCTTTACTGTGTGCCTCTGTTTCCCCAGTCGGTCTCCCTCACCCCTTCAAGCACCAGAGAAGGAAAAGGAGAACCCAGCAGAGCTGGCTGAGAGGTGCCTTCGGGAGCTGCTGGGCCGGGCTGCCTTTGGCAACATCAAAAACGCCATCAAGCCGGTCCTCATGTGAGTGCTCCCCACCCCAGCCCTCAGCCTTGAAATATTGCATGTCCCTGGTGTCCCCTTTCTGGGTTTGGGAGAGGGAATGGGATATGGCAGCTGTGGTGCTGTGGCCAAGAAGGTCCCTTCTGTGTGCCTGTATTCCTTGCAATATGATAGCAAGAGCCACCACACAGTGACCAAATGCAGTGTGAAGAGAGGAGCTGGGATGAGGGGACCAAAAGCTGAGCAAAAGCATTCAGCCTTGTCCCACATCATGCCACAGAGCCCTGTTCCTTGGCCTCTCTTCTTGGCTAGGGCTGTCCCAGGGTCCTTCATGATTCTCTGCTCAGTGGCATCTGTAAGCCCTTCCTCACCTGGGTACGTGTGAGGGTTCCCAGGAGGCATCACTCTCCCTCCAAGAGAACCTCTCCTTCCATTTCACAGCCTTCCCCCATATTTTCTCTCCCCTCACAGCCATCTGGATAACCATTCTCTCTGGGAGCCCAAGGTGTTCGCCATTCGTTGCTTTAAAATCATCATGTACTCAATTCAGGTACTACAGCTCTCCCGGTCCAGCTCTTCCCCCACGGTCAGCAGCTCTAGGAGCAGGACTTTAAAGCATAAAGCCAGATGTCCTCTGTGACTCCTAAGTCCCTTGCCTAAACCAGCACTGGTTACGTTAGCTGTGGAGAAGGGCCACTTTGGTTTTACTTCCAGTACATCATAGACCAATACTTTCATAAAATACAATTAAGACACATTCCTAGAAAATTACATTAAAAGCTCATGCAAATTAGCAGCCCACAGACCAGACCTGTGGCTGCTACTGTGGCGACTGACTCTCAGTTGCTGTAATTATCACCTCTGTGTACACCGGAGTCGCACAGATTTTGAATTGGCCCCAACCAGCCTGCCACACTTTTGAGCAGCACTGGACTAAGCTATCTGCCCTCTTGTGGGAAAAACTGAAAAGGAAGACAATATTTTAAGACGGGTTTTTGACCCATTTGAAGTAAAAGGGCCCAGGAAAAACGTGGAAACCCAGGCCTTCACTGGGATTTAGCTCTTTGTTTGACCAAGGTTGGGGGTAACTCCAGAAAGGGCACCGGGTGTGGCCTTGGGTCGTAGGTTTAGTTTACCCTGGCCTTGGGGTCCCACGTGCGGGTGCGGATCCGGCAGCAGCCGGCCCCAGCGCGTCTCCCTCCCGCAGCCGCAGCACTCCCACCTGGTTATCCAGCAGCTCCTGGGCCACCTGGACGCCAACAGCCGCAGCGCCGCCACCGTGCGCGCTGGCATCGTGGAGGTGCTGTCAGAAGCTTCAGTCATCGCCGCCACCGGCTCTGTGGGTGAGTACGGGAGCCTTGAGCGAGGGGATGAGGGCCGCAAAAGCCCGAGGCCAGAGAGCTGCTCCTGCACGGTAGGATCCCCTCAAGACAAGTCGGCGGGGAAACTGGGGGGCAGAAGCAGCCCCCTGCCTGGAATGGAGCCGGGGCTTGTCTTGGAACGCAGCCCGGAGAGGTGGGGGATGAGAGAGCCGTGCCAGCCCTGACGTTGGGTCTCCCCACCCCGCTGCGCTCAGGGCCCACGGTGCTGGAGATGTTCAACACGCTGCTGAGGCAGCTTCGGCTCAGCATCGACTACGCTCTGACCGGGAGCTACGACGGGGCCATCAGCCTGGGCACCAAGATCATCAAGGAGCACGAGGAGCGCATGTTCCAGGAGGCGGTGATCAAGACCATCGGTGGGCGGTGGGCCCCGGGACAGGCGGGGTGGCCGGGAGGGAGGCCCCCGGGGGAGGAGCGGGCTGGGGAGCAGCCAGGTCAGGGGAGGGGCGTGGGGACACGAGAGCTTGGTCCCGGGTGTCACAGGGTCGTCAAACACAGTGTCGTGCTGTTCATGGACATTGGAGAAATAGGGTCGGTCCTCAGGGCGCAGGGACTGGCCCAGGCAGGGTCTGAGTGAGAACCCAGAACCTTGGCCTCAGCCAGGACTTCCCATCAAAGGCGATCTCCTCTTGAGCCCCACTCCCCTTTAGGCCTTCTCCCCTCCAGGGATTGCAGGGGAGGCGGGGAAGGAGGAATAGGAAAGCGGGAAAGGACTCAGGCTGTGGAGAAATGCGCCCTCCCCCACCCGCCCTGGGCGTGGAGGACTATGAAGCCACCTGCCAGTGTGCCAGCTCTGGAGAGCGGGCAAGGCAGGAACGAGGGAGCCGATGCCCTTCGTGATGTGCCCACAAGTGCCCACGGGGCAGCTGGTGAAAACCTCGTGGGAACCAGAGCTGTCCTGGGGCCCAGCGTTCTCCATCTCACCCTCCTCGGGTCAAGGAGCCGCGACCTTAACCACCACCACAGTAGTAACAAGTGAAGGGACCAAAGACGCGCAGCGTCCTCTGGAGTTACCCAATGCCGCCCCTTCCTGCAGAGGCAGAATCCCACCCCGACCGTCCTTGCAGGTTTCTGTCTCTGGGTCTGAACTGACTCGGAGAGCCGCAGCTCAGCCGCCACTTGCTGCGGCTGTGTGTTTAGCGGGGAGGCGGGAGCTGGGAGCTGGGAGCTGCTGGCCTCACCCTGTCCCGCGGTTCCGCAGGCTCCTTCGCCAGCACACTGCCCACTTACCAGCGCTCCGAGGTGATCCTCTTCATCATGAGCAAGGTCCCGCTGCCTTCTCTGCACCACCCGGTTGACGCGGGGAGGACAGGGTGAGTCCCCCGCCCCCTCCCTGCCCAGGTTCCTCTCCGTGTCTGCATCCCACGGTCCTGCTCTCTCCTTTGTCCTTGTTGACTTTCTCAGCTCTGCCCTCTCCTCTCCTTTTGCCACCCAATCCCTCAGCAGCCATTTGGGGAGCTGGTGAATCCCACGGCACTGCCATCCCACCAATAACCACCCCTCACTGGGGTAGGTCATTAATTCCCTGGTCTGCTTCTTGTTTCTGGAAGTTACTGTCCTGGGTAACTCAACCAGGCGGGCCCCATACAGAAACCAGTCAGAGGGAGAGCCGGCAGGTGAGTGGGAACTGCGCCCACACAGGCATCCTGGTGAGTGAGTGTGTCTCTCGCCTACAGGGAGAACAGGAACCGTCTGACCCAGATTATGCTGCTGAAATCCCTCCTTCAGGTGAGCCTTGTGTGTCCCCATTCCTGCCCTGCCGCTGCAGGATGCAGCTCCTCCCAAAGGACCAAGCCAAGGCCCCCACCACACAGTCATGCAGGCTGTATACTGCGCAAATACCTCCCAGCAAGGATGAGCTAGGGCTGAAATCCAGTCTGCACTCCACACACTAGCCAGCCCGCTGTCCAAAGCAGGCAGGGCACCTGTTTCTAATTTTCCCAAAGGTTCCTTATGCTACTGATGGCTTTATTGTCAAACATTACTTGTCTTGAGATGGAATCTGGTGGTTCCTGCTCCTTTTGCCCTCCCGGTGCCCTCCCCAGGTCCTCTCCCCAGGTCCTCTCCCCTCTGTTTCTCCTGTTTCCCCCTCTTCTTTACATCTCTGTGGTCATCACTGGAGTCTAGATCCCTTGCTCTCAAACACCATTCCTATGACCAACTTGTTCAAATACATAGATTCCTTAAAGATTTGGAGCTATTGGTCTGAGTGGGGGCCCAGGTCTTCCCATGCATAGCCTAAAGTTCCAGGTGTCCTCAAACTATGGCCCGTGGGCCACATGCAGCCCACCTAGGACATTTATCCAGCCTGCAGGGTGTTTTTGCCGCCATTGCCTGTCCTGCTTAGCAGCCGACTCGTCCCAGGGCCCGCAGTCCGGCCCTCCAACGGTCTGAGGGACAGTGAACTGGCCCCCGGTTTAAAAAGTTTGAGGACCCCTGGAGTTGATCTCTTCTCCTCATCTATCATAACTCAATCACAAGAAGAATTGTCTGGAAATACTGTTCTCCATGTGTTGCCTCGTATTTCAGAATAGGTCTCGGCTTCAAATTGATGTACATCTGGATTTTGAACTTCACAGACTGAAACTGGGAGGTCCCCAGCCCCTTTTCCTACACTAGATTCCGTGTCCCATCTCTCAGTCTGTCTCTGTAGTGGCCATGCCAGTCCGCATAGACCTCATCACACCCACTTATGCCTCCCTTTCCCTCCTCTCCAGCCTTCATCCTTCTTGGTGCTGTGTTTTTATAAGTCCCCTTTGCTTGGACACTGCCCACATCTAGTTAACTCCTTGGTCTCCATATTCCTGCCATTTCTTTGCTGAGTTTACTCTCACTCATTTGTACCCAGAGTCTTACTAAGGTAACAGTTTAGGGTTCACTTACATACATCCCTCTTTGATGAACTATTGATGCCCCTGGGCTGTGCTAGACCCTCAGTGACCTTTTGAATCATCACAGGCATTGTTTGCAGTGTGAACTTAACAGTGACTCTGCTCTGCTGCTTTTGAATGCTTTGACAATGTCATACGTAGATATGTCTACTTACGCCAAGTGGCTTTAATGAGAAGCCCCCCCAATCTTGCCATGCTAGAAGAGATGTGACCAAATGCTATATGCATGTGCTCTTCGGTTGTGGCCATGTATGTGAGTTCTGATTCTTCAGCCCAGATGTAAGTTCTTCCACATCCAGTTCTTCGTGACTGTCATGCTCTCAATGACAGATGGTGTTTGTGGTGGGTGTTCATCAGTTGTGCCTGGATGGGATGGAACGTTAAGTTCAGAGGCTCCCTGGCTCCTGCTTCCCTGGATGCTTGTCCCTTGCTTGCTTTTAACACCTTACCGTCCCTGCACACTCTCCCTATCCACTCACAGTCTACTGAGCTGAGCTGAGTGGATTGAAAGATGGATGGTACAGGGTTCAAAATGTTGCCTGTGGCATCCAGAGCCTGGGTGGAGGCTGAAGAGGCTGGATTGGGAGCTGTTGGGAGAGGATGGATTTAGGCTCAACTTTTGCTGGCTGCTCCTCTACCTCCTCCCTTGCCCCTGAAAAGAACAGTGTTCTAAGCACCCCTGACCTGGGCTCCCTTGCAGGTATCCACAGGTTTCCAGTGCAACAACATGATGTCAGCCCTGCCCAGCAACTTCCTCGACCGCCTTCTCTCCACTGCCCTCATGGAGGACGCAGAAATCCGTCTCTTCGTTCTAGAGATTCTCATCAGTTTCATTGATCGTCATGGCAACCGCCACAAGTTCTCTACCATCAGGTGACCATGGGATGTTGTGGCTCCTCCAGCTAACGTGGGGTGGGAGGACTCCCAACAGGGCCTGTCTTCTTGGCCAGTGGCTTCACACCAGGTAGGGGGACAATTCACATATTCAGTGAGTCCTACCAGGGAACTGATCATGACTAACCATGGAGTACTGCAGGGGGCGGGCAAAGGGCATGTGTGCCTTGGGGGTGGGGTTTGAGAGGTAAGGGCGGGCCCTGAAAGGAGGTTTTGGCTGGAAAAAAGGAAGGAGCTATCAGTAGAGACCAAGAGGATTTGGGGGAAATAAGAAGAGGAAAAGAATAATCAGGAAATAGGCAGGCACTGGAGAACATGGGAGAAAATAGAGATTGGCAAAGAACCAGAGCCAGGGGAGCCCGGGGAGGCTTTGGTACTGACTAACGATGTTGGGGGTGAAGCCCAGTAACGTCACATGAGCTCAGGCTGGCCCCACACAGGACTAAGGAGGCCCTTTGTGTCCCTTCCCAGCACCCTCAATGATATCTCTGTCCTGAAGCTGAAAGTGGACAAGTGCTCCCGACAAGACACCGTCTTCATGAAGAAGGTAAACAAGCACAACCTCAGGACACAGTGACCGCAAATGGGCCAGGACCCAAGTGACTTCTGACCCTGACTGCCCCCCAGAGACTGTCCCTGCCCTCCAAGGGTCTGCATGGTCAGGCTGGCCAGCTGGCCCCTCTGGATGGTCAGGCCCAGGTCAATGACCCAGTCCAGGGCCATTGACTGTGCTCCACTCCAAAAACTGGCTTTGGGCAGCAGCATTTGTTGCTAGTTTCATTGGCCTGCACCCTTCCCTGCACAAGCACTCGTGTGTGTCCTCTCCCAGGGGAGTCTGCTCCAAAGGCATCACCCCTGAAAGTGGGAGTCAGGGTAGGGTACACACAGTCACCTGCCCCCTTCAGATTGGTCCTCCTCTCTCTTCTCACTCCTCTTTACACTTCACACCCTCCCCCTGCCCCACCTCCACCCCCAGCACTCCCAGCAGCTCTACAGACACATCTACCTTAGCTGCAAGGAGGACACGAACACGCAGAAGCACTACGAGGCCCTGTACGGCCTGCTGGCGCTCATCAGCATCGAGCTGGCCAACGAGGAGGTGGTGGTGGACCTCATCCGCCTAGTGCTGGCTGTCCAGGTGGGCTTGGGGTGGGGAGGGGCCTGTTTGGGTCAAGCACTGCTAAGAATAGCAAGAGGCAGCTATGTGATGATTGTCCTGGAGCCCAGGAGTGTTGCATTCTTGGTTGGTCCTACTGTAAAGACTCCAAACCATGGTCCTGTTTGGGGAAGTCCAAAGCATACTTTGTCCATGGCTTTGGCCCATTCTCAAGCTAAAGGCATTCAAAAACACTCCTGTGCCCTCAGTATCTCAAGTCTCTTGCAGAGTCTAAGTGAGACCCCATGGATTTCTCAGTGACGGAGCGGCTGCCTGCTTGATGGTCCTGAATCCTGCAGGGCTGACCTAGAGGCTACAATTTTTTAGAATTCGGATTCCTCTGTGTCCTAATCCCACGGTTACTCCCTCGGCCTGCTCAGTGTAACACACAAACCTAGTTTAGAGAGCCATCCTGTCCTCCAGAATCAGCTACAATGGAGGAACCAGATCCCTGCAGTGAGATTAATGATGAGGGTTTTACAGGAAAGGACATGAAAGCTGGAACTGCAGAGTGGGGCACTGAGTTCACTGCCTTGATGCTCAGAGCATTTCAGAGCCTCCGAGCTCAGGGATTGTTCTAGAGACCATTCCCATTGGCTTGAATGAGGATGACCAGAAAGTTATTGAGCAAATGGTGGGAAAGGCTTAGTTTAGACAAGATAGCCATTGCTAAAGAAGATTAGGGGCTGGGTGCAGTGGCTCATGCCTGTAATCTCAGCACTCTGGGAGCCTGAGGCAGGTGGATTGCCTGAGTCCAGAAGTTCCAGACAAGCTTGAGCAAGAGTGAGACAACATCTCTACTAAACATAGAAAGACTAAGCAGGACATGGTGGCAGGCGCCTATAGTCCCAGCTACTCAGGAGGCTGAGGCAAGAGGATCACTTAAGCCCAAGAAGTTGAGTTTGCTGTGAGTTATAATGCCACAGCACTCTACCCAGAGTGACAGAGTGACACTCTGTTTCAAATAAATAAGATCGGAGAGAGATTGGGTGGAGGGTTGGGAGCACCAATGAGTTTATCATTAAAAACTGGAGGCCTGGCTCGGCGCCTGTGGCTCAAGCGGCTAAGGCGCCAGCCACATACACCTAAGGTGGCGGGTTCGAATCCCCAGCCCGGGCCCGCCAAACAACAATGATGGCTACAACCAAAAAATGGCCAGGCGTTATGGCGGGCGCCTGTGGTCCTAGCTACTTGGGAGGCTGAGACAGGAGACTCGCTTGAGCCCAGGAGTTGGAGGTTGCTGTGAGTGTGATGCCATGGCACTCTACCCAGGGGGATAGCTTGAGGCTCCGTCTCAAAAAAAAAAAACAAAACAAAAAAACAAAAAACTGGGTGCCTGGGCTCGGCGCCTATGGCTTAAGCAGCTAAGGCACCAGCCACATACACCTGAGCTGGCGAGTTCGAATCCAGCCTGGACCAGCCAAACAACAATAATGGCTGCAACCAAAAAATAGCCGGGTATTGTGGCAGGCACCTGTAGCCCTAGCTACTTGGGAGGTAGAGGCAGGAGAATCACTTGAGGCCAGGTGTTGGAGGTTGCTGTGAGCTGTGATGCCTCGACACTCTACTCAGAGTGACAGCTTGAGGCTCTGTCTCAAAAATAAAATCCAAAACTGGAGGCCTGTCTGTGTTGCCACAGGACGTGGCCCAGGTCAATGAGGAGAACTTGCCTGTGTACCACCGCTGTGCCCTGTATGCCCTGGGCGCGGCCTACCTGAACCTCATCAGCCAGCTCACCACCGTGCCTGCCTTCTGCCAGCACATCCACGAGGTTGGTGTCCCATGATCCAGATGGCTCAGAGGGCCCTCGGCTTGGGGTTTCCTGGGAATACCTTCTCCTTAACTGCACAAGTCCTGAACTGTCTCAGACAGTGCTCTCTTCACTGTCTGAGTTGAAATAAGAACTAATAATAGTGAGCAGTTACTTGCAGCAGATTTTCCTGCTGTAGGACATGACAGCAGGGACAGGCAGGGCAGTGTCCTATACCCCTTCCTAACCTGCTGCCTGCCCCCTCCACTTCCTGCCCCTCTGTCCTCCCTCAACTCACACCAGCACACCTGCACACACCCCTCATCGTGTGGACTAAAGCCACTTAGAGCTTTTGCTGTAAACATTCACAAATATCACAAAAGTGCTGTGAGTAAAACCATGAACATCCATTAGCTCATGTGGATTAAATAAACAGTTATGAAGATTTCTCTCTATTTGCTTCATCATTATATATCCTTTCCTTTTCCTTTGCAAAAATATTTTTTTTCCCCAGTTTTTGGCTGGGGCTGGGTTTGAACCCACCACTTCCAGCATATGGGGCCGGCGCCCTACTCCTTTGAGCCACAGGCACCACCCTGCTAAAATATTTTAAAGCAAATCCCAGCTATCCTGTCCTTTCACCTTACATGTATAACTACGCATGCCTGTAAAACATGGGCACCTCCCTACATGATTACTATGCTGGTAACATAGCAAATTAAATTACCATTAATTCCTTAGTATTACCTAATATCCAGTCTGTAGTCAAATGTTCTCCATTGCTACATAAAGATCTTTTAAAACACACTAAAGTATGTACAGATGGAATCATACAATGTCTATAATTTAAAATATATTAACAGAACATAACAAGAAACCCCAGGTTTCAGCCAGCCTGGGCAGGCTGGGAGCTGTGGGGGCGGGTGCTGTGTTACTGTGCTAGAGACCACTGAAAGGACTTCTCGGGCTGCTGTGAGGGTCACGGTTAATCAGGGTTTCTCACTCGAGAAGATACCAATGGGAGGGACAGACACTGAAACAGGGGCAGGAGCTCTTTTTGTTGCTGGTTTCAAGTTCTCTCTCCCTGCTGAATGCAGCCCTTATCATCTGATTCCTCCCAAACTCCAGGTGATAGAGACCAGGAAGAAAGAGGCTCCCTACATGCTCCCAGAGGATGTGTTTGTGGAGAGGCCCAGGTGAGGAGAGCTTGGGGGACATGGTTAGGGATCTCCAAGGCAGCTGAATAAGCAGGTTGGCAATCTGAGGCCAGGAGAGGTCAATGCCAGAGGTGCAGGCTCCTATGGAATCAAGGGCAGAAAGCAAACCCCACCTGTGGTCCAGAAGTCCCAGGTGAAGTTGACCCCATCGTGTTACCGTAATCTGCACATCAAGTATGTGATGCTGAGCTCCGTGGGTGTATGTGATGCAGACTCTGCCAAGCCTGTGGGGAAACACAGCCAGGAGCAGTTGTTTCTGACAGGACACTGCTGTCAGTCCAAGTGACATTTCAAACTGTAGACTGTGTGTGGGCCAGTATCACTTCAGCATCAGAAGCACTCAAAGGAAAGATATTGTGAAAAACAAAATTTTCAACAATAGAGGATGGTTTTATAAATTATGACCCATCTATATAATAAATAACTGGTAAACAGTAGCAGCAATTTTTTTTTTGAGATAGAGTCTCACTTTGTTGCCCTCGGTAGAGTGCTGTGGCGTCTCAGCTGACAGCAACCTCCAGCTCTTGGGCTTAGGCAATTCTCTTGCCTCGGCCTCCCAAGTATCTGAGCTCAGGTTCAGTTTGAGATCAGCCTGAGCAAGAGCAAGACCCCATCTCTGTCATTGTTGTTTAGCAGGCCCAGGCTGGACTCAAACCCACCGGCCTTGGTGTATGTGGCTGGTACCCTACTCACAGAGCTACAGGCACTGAGCTGTTTTGTTTTTTTGTTTTTTTGGGTTTTTTGAGACAAGGTCTCACTGTATTGCCCATCTCTATTGCTGGTCTCTAGCTCCCGGGCTCAAGCAATCTTCCCACATTGGCCACCGAAGTAGCTGAGAAGGCAGACACAAGTCACTGCACCCAGCGTACTTTGATAATGAGGAAAGTTATTAGGAAACCATTCTGGATACTCACAGTTCTAATGTGCCTCCTCCCTCCTCTGCCCTCCAGGCTGTCTCCGAATCTTGACGGAGTGGTGATTGAGTTCCTCTTCCGCCAGAGCAAGATCAGCGAAGTCCTGGGGGGCAGCGGCTACAATTCAGACAGGCTCTGCCTGCCCTACATCCCTCAGCTGACAGGTATGAGCTCTGTGCAGGGACTCCAAGCCTGCCTCTATCTTGACCTGGTAAGAGCCTGAGTATGAGAGACTTCTGGTCCCTCGATTGCCCTCCGTAGCACCTTGGGTGTTGCACAAGAGCTAAAAGACACATTGGGAGCTAACGGTGAGGGCCTCTTGCTCTCCCCTCCTCCTGAGGATCCACACAGATCCTCAGAAGATAGCCTGGCCTGTGGATAGGAGAGGCTCCCTCAGGCTGGAAAGAGCACACATGGGCCATGGAACCAGAGTACCAGTTTGAGACCTCTGTGCAACTTAACAGCCTAAAAAATCTTAGATGCGTCCCTTGGCATCTCTGAGCTTCAGTTTCCTTGGTCGTGAAATAGGGATATTAGCAATACCTGCCTTAGAGGGTCAATGTGAAAGGTAGATGAAAAATGTGCCTGCATTAACGCAAATGTACTTAGAAAATGCTACAGGAGTGACAGCTACTGGTGCTGGCCGCAGGTGATGCTTACACAAGTTGAGATGCACTTTCTGGTCATAAGCAGCTTCCTTGTGCTCATCAAAACTTTCAAAATAAATCTTAACCCTAAAGAACAAGAATAGCTGGGCACAGTGGCTCAACCCTGTAATCCTAGCACCTAGGCTGAGGTGGGTGGATTGCTTAGGAGTTTGAGACCAACCTGAGCAAGAGCGAGACCCCATCTCTACTAAAAATAGAAAAAATAGCTGGGTGCCTGTAGTCCCAGCTACTCGGGAGGCTGAGGCAAGAGGATCCCTTGACCCTGGAGTTTGAGGTTGCTGTGAGCCATGATGCCACAGCATTCTGCCCAGGGCTACAGAGTGAGACTCTGTCTTAAAAAAAAAAAAAAAAAAAG